TGCCAGAGAGTAAGGCTGTAGAATCAGTGCCCAAAATCAAACGGACTTCTTCTGAGGATGGTGGGAAAAACGCAAACCTTCATCTGAGTTGTGCAGCAACAGACGCTTGAAATCAAAGTGTACAAAATTAGCAGAATATTTCCTTTGTGTTTTTTTTGTATTATTATTTTTTTTACTACAAGAAAGTCACTCAAAGATCTGGAGATTCAGAAACACAGAATACATTTTTACATAAATGATTCTAATCACCTCCCTCTTCTGGCTCACGTCACTGGAGAGTTAAGTGACTTCAGGCCACGACAGCACAAATGTGTTTTGGCGCAGCGCTCCTGAGATGCTCCCCACCGGCACGATGCCTAATTAATTAAGACGGGGGCGCCACTTGTTCCCCGGGCCCCGGGGTAATCATACAGGGCAAATTACAGCATGTTCTGCTGTGGGCGTGGGGAGAGGGGAGGTATGGGGGGCAGATGGGTGCACCAACAGTGTTGTCATTGTTGATTAATTTCTCCGTATAGATCTTGACACCGGCGTGCATGTGTAACCTGTCACTGAACACCCGCGCGTCCATTCATCACGGCCCGGGAGGTGTTTCAGTGTGTGTGTGTGTTGGAGGAGGTGTGTGTCTGTTTGAGTGCTGTCGTTATGTACAGTTTTGCAGTGAATGTGTGAGACAGTGGGCTGCAGGTGGTCACAGTGAGGAATTCCATCTGTTTGTGTGTCAGCGACCGTTAAAGCTGAAGTTCTTCTTCTTCTTCTTCTTCTTCTTCTTCTCCATCTTTGTACATTCACAAACTAAACTGCATTTCCATGCACGATATGGTACGACTGATAAGATCGTGGCGTATTCCCGATGACAAATGGCTGATAACGTCTTGGGACGGGGGGGCAGGAGGGGAGCACTGTGAGGGAGACTATTGATTAGCCTTATTACCTAAAGCATCCATCTTGGGAATGAGTGAGAGGAGGGGGGAGGAGTTGGAAATTAGCCGGGCTCCACCTCTGTTGACGGACTGATTGCTCTGGGGGCCCTGAAGAGAACAAATGGCCCCCGCCTGTCTACACACAGACACTTATCATCCCCACATTTCTTGCCTTCTTCTTCGTTTCACCTGTTTTTGCTGCCGGTGTTTTTATAAACTGTACAGAATAATTACAGTCAGGTTGTTAATGATAATACACCCATTTATACATGGCTAATTTCCCAGAAAAAAAGGAAAAAAAATAATTATAAAATAAAATTCAAATAAAATATTTCTCTAGATGTGTTTCGCATAAGTCCAAAAATGTCTGTAATCTGTGCCTTGTTTTAGAACTAAAGTGAAGTTCCAGGAAAAAAAATAATTATAAAATAAAATATTTCTCTAGACGCATAAGTCCAAAAACGTCTGTAATCTGTGCCTTGTGATAGAACTAAAGTGAAGTTCTTTTTAAAGGTTTTAAATCTTCTGGATTAATTTAATAAAATGAAATTAAACCTAGATTGAGGCTTTATAAAGATTAAAATAAGTCTGTACCAAGAATCCCAGAAACATTGACTGACTTCAATGTTCAGTTCTAAAAAGTATAGTAATATATTTTTTTAGAAATTAAAACTACATGCAAAACATCAACCAGAAACTAATTGAAATTAATATGTAAATTTAAATTTCACATCTTGTGCTAATTTGCTCATTACATGAAACATAAAGAACTCTTTAACCACATTTTCAGCCATTAATACGTGTCATGTTGTGTCTAATTATAGAACCTCACTGCCCTGATCATCTTCAGTG